TTTAACAATAACTTGTCTGCAAACAGGAATAAGTCAATTTTTCTTGGAAAATCCTGCACTCTGCTCCACTTTTCTCATGTTGGACATTTTTCTGATGAGGGTGTCACGGTCAACAGTCAAAACGATCGTCCTTTAAGAGCGTTTGGAAAGAGACAAGTCTTCATTTGTGCTGCTCTGGTGGGAGGGGCCACGTACAGAGACGCTGGAGACGCTGCTGTGATAAACACCACAGAAAATTACCAATATTTTAACAGAAAATATAATTAAAATATTTTAGTAGAAAATCACCCAAGGGCCACATTAAAGGTCTTGGAGGGCCGGATCTGGCCCCCGGGCCTTATGTTTGACACCTGTGCACTAGACAGTTCACAATAACCCTGGAAGCGTGAGTTCGGGCACCAGCCAATCAGCGAAGAGCCATACATTCTGTGTTGGCAACGATTCCCGAGATCAAGGATTTAAAGCTGGAATAAAGAGAATGTTTGGTGAATTTTATCAAGGGGAAAAACTTTGTTGCCCTTCTTCCTACGGGATTTGGGAAAAGCTTAATATACCAATTAGCAGAGGTGGGGACTTGCAAGTCGTGACTTGGACTTGAGTCAGACTTGAGTCACTATTTTTAGGAACTGAGACTTGACTTGATAAATTCGACTAATACTTGGGACTCGAATTGGATTTGAAGGTCAGTGACTTGGGACTTGACTCGGACTTGAGGCCTGTGACTTGAGACGCACTTCTAAATCTGAATTATTTTTATTCTGACCGTAATGATTCACACTAAGATCTTGTCAAGACATTTAAAAAAAAAAGAAGTAAATTTCTTCAACTCTTATATACTCTATAAATACTCATATATAAATTGAAATTACTTGAATCTCAAAACAGACGACTTGGACTTGACTTGGACTTATGGGCTAGTGACTCAAGACTCGACTTGGAGTTGCCTGTATTTGACTTGGAACCTGACTTGGACTTGAGATCAAAGAATTGAGACTTACCTGAGACTTGCAAAACAATGACTTTGTTAGCCCCATTTGTGGCACATTACATACATCACGACCAAATAGCAGGGGTTGGTTAAAAGAAAAAAGTACCTGCCTACCATTGAGCGAACGGATCCTAAAGCTGCGAGGTCAGACGGTCTCTATGAAGTGAAACCGGCTGACGTATCAGGCTAGGATTGATTTAACCTTTCTGAAATTTGAATCATGGACCGGGTTAGTTTTTGTGCCACTTGTGTAGTGTTACTTCCAGTGACTGTGTCGTCCGCATACATTTAATTATGGACTTCAGGACAAACTGAAGGGAGTTCGTTTATGTAGAGAGAAAAGAGCAATGGACCCAGAATGGAACCCTGTGGACCACCTGCTGCTAGAGGGAGGGGAGTTGAGTAGTGACCATTGATTCTGAGTGACTGCAATTGTTTCGTTAGATATGATTCTAGTTCTAGTTTTTCTTTCAAACTGAAAACCACTCTGAACCACCTTGTGATGTCATACAGGAAGAGCTCCACTGTGTTTTTAACTCCACACACCTTCACTAGAACCATTTGGATAATTTCAGCCCAAGAATAGAAGGGTTTCAGTCACGTGATCACAATGATGCGCGAATTTCAGGTGGAGGGCAGGAAGTGAAGACAAACATGACAAACACGGCTCTGGAGAACACAGATATGGAGAAGAGTTCTTATTGTAAGGATTTAGAGCCAGTAGCAAGGCAAAAGTACGAGTAGTTAGTCGACAAATATATTGGGCGTGACCCTGATCTTATTGAAAATGAGAAAAATTTCAACCGAAGTAAAAGATTTGCCGACAATCGAGGCAGAGGATGTCATGAACTATTTAGCTCTTCAGACATCGTTCTACAGCAGACAACAGATGAAGACGTACAAAAGTTTGGAGGCATAGAACTTTTTTTGTCAGTGGATGGGTCCTCAACCTTGGTGCAAAACGTCTAAATGATGATTATCGTTTGGTCTTTGCCAGGGTGATTGTTTCTCTTATTTTATGTGTATAGACTGTTATGGGAAAAACTGCAGTGTATCGGCAGTAACCTCTATCTGAACTATTTAATGTCAACAAATGTCGTTAGTCGTTAATGATGTTTAGGTAAACCACAAAAAAACAATTTATCTTTGTAACAAACCTTTGACGAAGTGGTCACTGCAGACACGAGCATTAGCGAATTCTGCTCCTCCCGACTGCAAAAAGGTTTGTAATCCACTTTTTACGGCGTTGTTCTGTCAGCTTTTCCCATTTCTGACCTTTGTGGACGACTATATTCGGTACTCTAAAAAAATCGCTTTTCCTTCTCTCGGTTAGAACAATTGGCACAGCCGTAAACTACACAACACATCAGCATTTTCCTCCAGTCAGTTCACTTCCTGCCCTCCATCTGATTTTGCGTGCTGACAAACGTAGCCCTGTGACGTCACGTGAAACCCACCTATTGCCTATCTCTACTGAACTAACGGTAAAAGGTAGATCTTAACTTGAAAAACTACCGCTTCGTGACATCACAAGGTGGAACAGAACATTTTGAGTTTTGCAGATATAGACATAGTAATAGTAAAGGGTCACTCAAACAAACACAAGGTATGTTTTCGATGAGGTAACAACATTATAACATGCGTTTGATTCAATTATAGGTCTTTACATCCCTTGAAAAGCCTGCTCTCCACAGATCTGACCTGTAACTCTGGCTGGTTCTTCAGGAGATACATATATAATAATGGCAGATTTGTCTTCACGGTCGTTCTGTATAAAAGTCTATTCTTAGATCTTTTTGAGTTGGACACAAATGAAGCCTGCAGCTGTTCAGCCCCAGGTTTATTCCACCGAAACACACGAGTCAAGAGTGTGATTCATGAGACAAGCAGAGAGAAAAATGATCAAAATGTACTGAGAGAGGACAGAGAGAGAGGAGAGAGAGAGAGCTAGTGAGGGAGAAAGAAAGAGAAAGTGAGAAAGGGAGAGAGCGTGAGAAAGAGAGAGGGAGAGTAGAGAGGGGGTGGGAATAGAGAAAGATAGTGAGGGAGAAAGAAAGAGAGAGAGAGAGAGTGAGGAGGCGTGAGAGAGACAAGAGAGACAGAAGAAGGATGAGAGTGTGAGAAAAAGAGAGAGGAAGAGGAGAGAGGGGGAGAGAGATAGTGAGGGAGAAAGAAAGAGAAAGAGAGAGTGAGGGGGCGTGAGGGAGACAAGAGAGAGGGAATAAGAGAGAGATTGAGAAAGAGAGAGAGGGGAGAGGGGGTGAGAAGAGAGGGAGATAGTGAGGGAGAAAGAGAGGGAAAGAGAGTGGGGGACAAGAGAGGGAAGAAGGAAGAGAGTGTGAGAAAGAGAGAGAAGGACAGGAGAGGGAGAGGAGAGAAATAGTGAGGGAGAAAGAAAAAGAGAGAGGGGGGCATGAGGGAGACAAGAGAGAGAGCGTGAGAAAGAGAGAAAGGAAGAGAAGAGAGGGGGTGAGGGGAGAGAGATAGTGAGGGAGAAAGAAAAAGAGAGTGAGGGGGTGTGAGGGAGACGAGAGAGGGAAGAAGAGAGAAAGAGAGAGGGCGGAGGAGAGAGGGGGTGAAGAGAGAGAGAAATAGTGAGGGAGAAAGAAAGAGAGAGGGGGGAGCATGAGGGAGACAAGGGAGAGAGCATGAGAAAAAGAGGGGTGGAATAGTGAGAGAGAGAGTGAGGGGGCGTGAGGGAGACAAGAGAAAGGGAAGAAAGACGAGAGCGTGAGAAAGAGTGAAAGGAAGAGGAGAGAGAGATAGTGAGGGAGAAAGAAAGAGAGAGAAAGGGGGGTGAGGGAGACAAGAGAGAGTGTGAGAAAGAGGGAGAGGAAAAGGAGAGATGGAGAGGGGACAGAGAGATAGTGAGGGAGAAAGAAAGAAAGAAAGAAAGAGAGAGTGAGGGAGTGTGAGGGAGACAAGAGAGAGGGAAGAAGAGAGAGAGTGAGAAAGAGAGAAGGGAAAGAGAGAGGGAGAGGAGAGACAACAGGGAGTGAGGGCAGAGGAAGATAGTGAGGGAGAAAGAAAGAGAGAGTGAGGGAGTGTGAGGGAGACAAGAGAGAGGGAAGAAGGACAAGAGCGTGAGAAAGAGAGAGAGGAAGAGGAGAGAGAGATAGTGAGGGAGAAAAAAGAGAGAGTGAAGGGGCGTGAGAGATAGTGGGTGAGGGGGTGTGAGGGAGAGAAGAGAGAGGGAAGAAGGAAGAAAGCGTGAGAAAGAGAGAGGAAGAGCAGAGGGGGTGAGGATGGAGAGAGATAGTGAGGGAGAAAGAAAGAGTGAGGGGGACATGAGGGAGACAAGAGAGAGGGAAGAAGGGAGAGAGTGTGAGAAAGAGAGAGGGGGAGAGGACAGAGGGGGACAGAGAGGGAGTGAGAAAGAAAAAGAGAGGGAGGCCGAGGAGAGAGGGGGAAGAAGGGAGGGAGTGAGAGAATAGAGAAGAGGAGGAAGAGAGACAAATGGAAGAAGTGAGGAAGAGCGAGAGTTATGAATGAGGAAAAAAAAGAAGGGTGGAGGTTGTGAAAGAGGGGATCGAGAGAGGGGGTGAGAAAGAAAGAAAGAAAAAGAGAGAGACAGGGAATGACGGCAAGAGAGGGGTCAGGAGAGAAGAGAGAAAGAATAGAGAGAAGAGGAGCGATAGAGACAAATGAAAGGATTGAGAGAAAGAGAGAGAAGAGAGTTAGAGATGAGAAGAGAAAAAGGGAGGAGGAAGGATGTCCAAGAGGGAGTGAGAAAGAAAGAAAGAGGGAGTGACGGCGAGGAGAGGAGTAAGAAGGGATAGAGAATAGAGAGAAGAGGAGCGATAGAGACAAATGGAAGAACAGAGAGAGGAGAGGGAAAGAAGGGATAGAGGATAGAGAGAGAGAAAGTAAGAGGAAAAGAGAAAAGAAGAGAGACAGAGAGGGGGTAGAAAAAGGTAGGAAGGGATTGAGAGATAAATGCAAGAGACAGAAAAAATGGAGTAGAGAGAATGAAAGAGTGAAGAGAAAGAGAGTGAAAAAAGGCAAATATAACTTTAGTTTTATTGTTTTTTTATTTGAATTATCACATAGAAAACATTCAGTATCCGGAATGTCATTTTTTTCTCTTTTAGTTGCAAATGTTTTTATTTTACATTTTAGCTCTTTTAAAAATATAAGACACCATTTCAGTTTTTTAGCATTATAAATCTCTGTTTTTAAGACATTTTTACTCCAGACTATTCAAAGCAAAGCCATTATATACACATTAGAATCTTGCTGGAACACATATTTTCATTAGATTCAAGCAAATATGAGAGGACAACAAACTGCGTCCTAGTGAGGAATCAGCAAGTCAAAATGTCAAGTTTTAGTGTGTACAAGTATTAATATTATCACAAAATATCACAATTTATTTTTATGTAGAAAAAATAAAAATAAATTGTGAGTTTAAAGGTGCACTGCATAACTTTTTTTGTGGTTGCCATGATCGTGGTTGGCTGCTCTTGTGGCTGACTTTTTAAACAAAAATTTTGGTCTTAAATTTTTTTACTTAATATTTTGGGATTGTGGGAGTATTGGATTGTGGCGACCCTGTTTGGAGATAGCTACGCTTGCCAGCTAGCTCTGAAATATTAGACTTTTTACACCAAATATGGCTGAAGATGATCCAGAGGAAACACTTCGAATCAACAGAGTGGAGAAAGAGTTAGGTTTAGAAGAGGCTTTCCTGTTGTGGGTCCAGATTTTACCTGGCTCTGCAGGACACTTTTGTCCTGAGGGCTGTTCCTCTCCTCACACTGCCCTGACACTGGACCTGATGTCTCTTCCTGTTGAGCTACACTGAAACTTCTCTTTGAGTTCTATTATTCTTGTATTTTACTGCCCAATATTCCACAGTATGGTATTACACATTTCTGACTAGGATGCATTAATGAATTGCCTGTAAAAACATGTAGACTGTTTGCAATTCAACACTAACATCTCCATGGAGACAAGCAAATGGCAATTCCTCCACTGTAAAAGTTACATAGTGCAGCTTTAATTCACTTTCATTGCCCCAAATCCTCAAGTCTAGATTGTGACTATGAAGTATTGTAAAATAAACAGACTCATAAAAAACAGTTTACATTTGGGTAAAAATTTTGGAATATATATCAAAAATAATTATCGATAAACCAATAATCTTGGCGTTTCTCGTTATAAAAAGGTGAGTTCAGCAGTGTCAGTAAGAACATTATGTTACCCTGGTCATTTGACTAAAATGCAAATCATTTCCGCAAAACTTCAGTGATCCATCATTTTATAATCTCATACTTGTGTAAGCAGGTCCAGAACATGTATCTGAGTTAGTCATGTTTAAAAGTTACTACAAAAACCGGAAAAATACAATCTTAAATAAGTTAAAATGGCTCGAATAACATTTTTATTTTCATTTGTAGATTTTAGAGTTGGCAATAAAATTATGTATTTTTTTCTTTTGAACCGATTTTAAGTTGAACTATATATACTTATTAGTACTATTTTAAAGGGTCACTAAGTAACTTTTGCTCAATGGCATTAACCTTAATGTATCTCCATGGAACAATGAAGATAAATTTGGGGCGACAGTGGCAGTGGCCCCCAACCCGAAGGTTGGAAGATCAATTCCCCCTCAGATCAAGTTCTGACATTGTGCTCTTAGGCAAGTGTCTTTAGACTTCACCTGCTTTCCCACGTATGAAAGTGGTGAGAGCTGGTGGTGGTCAGAGGGGAACAGATTAGGAGCTGCACTTCTGTCAGTCTGTCCCAGGGCATCTGTGGCTTTAAAAGCTCTCCACCGCTAAGTATGGAATGATACAATAATGACTGCAGTGTAGTACTTTAAAGGCTTTGACAAACCTCTAAAGCACACTGTGTAAACGTAAAGCAGTATTATAAGTATAAATTACAAGTCAGATCTGTGGAGGTGCACGTTCACCCACATTTGTATGTTTCCATGGATTTCAAGGTGTTTTTGAGCAATATAAACACCTGTAACTGAGTGAATGCTACATTTAATGCCATGTTGTGGAAGATTCCAGCATTAACCTCCATAGAGACAAGCAGGAAATAGACCCCTCTCCAGAAAAGTTACACAGTGTACCTTTAAGTACTAGGGCTGTAACGATATCCAAGTCTCGTCTCGATATTGTCATGGTATGAACCTCACGGTACGATATTTATTGTGATATTTTGTGGAGGCTAACAAAACTGTTAATATGCTACTTTTTCCTCTTAAAATGCCTTGACAAGACTTAATTCAAAGAACTAAGACTTAAAATTGCTTAGAACAATTATTTCTCCATGTACTCTAGACTGAAATGGAGCAAAGGATCATGGTCTATGATCTTAATGGTCTTAATTTAAGCAAAGAGACTTGATTCGATATATTGTGACGGTCCAGGGTATTATTGTAAGAACTGATGATACGATATCACAATATTTCAGTTATTGTTACCTCCCTCTTAAACACTATAGGATATTTTAGTGGAATGTTACTTTTGTACCATAGATATTCTTTCTCTTAACCAATCAGAATGTACTTAATCAAGATAAATAGAACTTATTCAAGGGACCTTAACTTACTTAAGACATTTCAATGTACAATACATGTGGTGGTCCAGATCTGGTCCGAGTTCGGTTCTTGAGTTCTGGTCTGAGCTTGATCCTGGTTAGTCCCTGATGGTGGAAGCAGTGAGCTGGATCAGGTCAGTAAACTCCAGGTTAGGTTAGCTCCAGTCCTGTTGAGTTGAACCTGATCTGGGCTCAGTATTCCAGAGCTGTGACTTTGACAGAAGAGAAGATTTTTCCAGCGCTGGTGAAAAGAGGAGACACGAACATGTCCATCAAACTTCTCCAGATGATTTTCAGTGAGGGCAGGATCATCAGGACACTGTGTATGCACGGCATCACCAGCCTGAAAGAAAGGGAAAACAGAATTACTACTAATACTACTACTGGTACTTAATACTACTACTACTACTACTACTGGTACTGCTACTACTACTACTACTGTTACTGCTACTACTAATACTACTACTACTACTACTACTACTACTACTACTACTACTGTTATTACTTCTACTACTGCTACTGTTACTGTTACTACTACTAATAATAATACTACTACTTCTGTTACTACTACTGCTGCTACTACTACTACTGTTACTACTAATACTAATACTAATACTACTACTACTGTTACTGCTACTACTACTACTACTAATAATAATAATAATAATGTTACTACTACTGCTGCTACTACAAAGACAACTACTATGATAATGACTACTAGGTTTGCAACAATGACGATGATGACTACAACTACAATGACTATTACTACTACAATGACTATTACTACTGCAACAATAACGACGACTACTACTATTACTACAATGACTAGTACAATGACTAGTACTACTGCAACAATGACGACGACGACTACTATTACTACAATGACTACTACAATCACTACTACTACTGCCACAATGAAGATGACGACGACTACTACTACTACTACTACTACTACTACAATGACTATTACTACTGCAACAATGACGACTACTACTACTAGTACAATGACTTCTACTACTACAATGACTACTACAACTACTACAATGACTACTACTACAATGATAACCACTACTACTAGTACAATGACTACTATACTACAACAATTACAATGATGACTACTCCTACTACTACTTCTACTACTACTACAATAACAACCACTACTACTACAATGACTGCTACTACTACAATGACTACTACAATAGTACAATACAATACTACTACTGCTACTGTAGCTGTAACTTTGAAATAGCACACTTTAAAAGATAAAAGATATTTAAGAAACAGAAGAGGCCTGTGTAATGTGCAGAGGCAGCTCAGTCTACAGTTTTGGTGCACCATTCAAATTTTTTAAAAACAAATAAAAGTAGTTTAAAGTGGATCCTAATGTGCACGGGCTCCAGTGAGGGGAGGATCAAATCAGGGCGATGCGCTTGTATTTTCAAGTGCCAGGACTGACTCACCCCAATAAAGTGTGCTACAGTGATCCATCCGGGTGGTTACAAAAGCCTGGATCACAGTTTCAGAGTTTCAAAGTGATGTTGTGCCAAAAGGTACTTAACTTTTACCATCTGCCTAAGGTGGAAGAAGCTGGTTCTTACAAGATAACTAAGGTTTAAGTTGTGAATCCACTTTAAAATCTACGTTTACAGTCTCAGGTTTAGAAAAATGACTAGTGCACTGTGTAACTTTTTGGTTGGGGGTCTGTCATCTGCTTGTTTCTATAGCGATGTCATTTCTCTACCTGGAATGCTCACAGCTCTACCTTACATTTTTTCAATTAGAGTTGTTTTTATAGCTCAAAAATTCCAAGAAAAACAGGCATTCTGACAGTGAGCGGGGTTGCCTCTCCGCAGATCTGACCTGTAACTTGGTCTGTGAAACATTCCAGAGTCCACATTTGGAGTGAATTTTGAGCAAATCCATCTCTCTTCTTAAACAGTGAAAAGAGATGCCATGTTTCCACAGAATTAAACCCAGGGGTAGCAGATAGAATGAAAAAAGAATAGGGCCTAAAATAGATCCCTGTGGTACCCCATACATTAAAGGTGTATAGAAAGATTCAGAATCTCCAAACTAGAGCACAAAAATACTACTACTACTATTACTATTACTACTACTACTACTACTGCTACTACTACTACAACTGCTACTACTATTACTACTACTATTACTACTACAATAATTTCACGTGTGGATCAATACAGTTTATGTAACTTTAAGTCTACTGCAAGTACTACCGTTACTAATGCTACTACTACTGCTACTACTACTAGTACTACTACTCCTGCCATTGCTGCTATGACTGCTACTGCAACTACTACTACTACTACTGCTATTACTGGTACTACTACTATAACTACTACTGCTTCTACTATTACTATAATTATTGCTACTGTCAAAATAATTTCCCTTGAGGATCAGTAAAGTTTGTCTAAATTTAAGTCTACTGCAACTTCTCCCACTACTACTACTACTGCTCTTGCTATTGCTACTATTACTTCTACTGCAGCTACTACTACTGCTATTACTGGTACTACAGTGACTACTACTACTACTGCTTCTGCTATTTCTACTGTCCAAATAATTTTCCTTGAGGATCAGTAAAGTTTGTCTAAATTAATAAAAAGTCAACTGCAACTACTACCACTACTGCTACTACTACTGCTGCTGCTGCTATGGCTACTATTACTGCTACTGCAACTACTACTGCTACTGCTACTGCTATGGAACGTCCAGATAAACATATAACATTTGTCATAAAGGCAGAAAAAGACAGAACATCTAACTTAGTTTTGTATTTGTGATCAAGTAGACTGAAGTGCATCTGTTTTTTGTTGTTGTGTTTTTCGTTGGACGCTTCACCTTTAGCTCCGCCCAAACCACAATGCTGCTCTTTGATTGGATAAAACCAGTGGCGGTCCCAAACGCAACAAATATCAGAAGAATGCACACTCCCCTCAGAGAGATCAGGAGTCTAACCCACAACCTCTTTACTGTAAAAGAATTAATAGTCCCTAAAAGCTGTTTTTCCGTGTTGACATTTGAAGTTACCTCAAATAACCTGTGGAAAAAAACAAATCTTCTGCACCTCTCCCCTCCGTGTTTGTGTACATCTGTGAAGGAACCCGTGCACTCTGACCCCACTTCCCGTAGTTCAAACGTAAAACTTTATTTAAAAATGTTCCAACCAACTCCTAAACTGCGGAAAACTAACAGCTATTTTCCCATTTTCACACAGGGACTACACATTCCAACTACTTTCCACTGCTGGGCTGGAAAAACTACTTCATAACTGCAGTAATAGTAAAGGTCTATACTTCAAAACTGTGGCAGAGTGGTTAACTTGTCTTCTGTCTCCTCATGTTTTGAAAAAAATTTGGACTTTTTTTTTTCTTTTTTGTCATTTATTGAGTTATTTTCTGAGCTGAGCCTGAGGAGAGGCCGCAGGTGTAAATTAACCCTCTGACTCTGATAAAAATATGATTTATGGGAGAGGTGAACTTCAGGCCACGTCAAGGTAAATTTTTACAGTTTTGTGTTGGAAAAAGCATGGAGGCCTGGTATGTTTGTGGTCAGGGTGGCAGAGTGGTTAGCCCTATTTATTCTCAGATCCTGGCCTAGATTTGGTCCACTGCTACTGACCAGGAGGTGTAATCAGGAGTTGCGGTGTAACGATATCAAAGTCTCACGATACAATGTCACAGTATGAACCTCACGGTACAATATTTATTGTGATATCATGGGAAAGCTCACGATATGGTGGAGAGGCTCAAGATTAGGGATGTAACAATATCCAAATCTCTCAGGACGATGTTTTCACAATATACATCTCTCGGTATATTTATTGCAATATTTTGTGGAGGTTAACAAAATTGTAAATATGCTACTTTTTCCTCTTAAACTGCCTTGACAAGATTTAATCCGAATAACTAAGACTTAAAAGTGCTTAGAACTGTTATTTCTTTATGTCGTCTGCACTGAAATGGAGCAAAAGATCATGGTCGATGTAGTTCACTGTCTTTTTTTAACTATTGCTGCACCATAACTCTGAATTTAAGCAAAGAGACTTGTAATTTGATATATTGTGGTGGTCCACGATATTACTGTGAGACATTTGACGATACGATATCACGATATTTCGGTTATTGTTACAGCCCTAACCAGGAGACAATGAAGGATGGGCCAAATATTTAGGATTCATACTGGTACAATGGCCACGTTTACATGATGTTTTTAAATTCCAAACTACTTGCTCTGAATTAAATAGTTCGGAATTAAAATATTCTCCTTCGAGTTTACATGGAAATAATAATTCCGAATTGAGGTTTACATGGAAAACACGTTAAATCGCTTTTATTTAATTCTGCTCAGCGTCTGGGGGTGGGGAAGGGTTCTGATCGGACAGGAAGACAAATGTATTTTTGTCCACCGGAAGAAAACACACACTTCAGCTGCTACTGGCTTTTCTGTCGTCTCAGTTTGTCATTATTCCATGGACACAAACATGATCCAAACTATTTTCGCAGTTGTTCCGATGATAATTACGCAGCAGCTGGAGAATTTTTTTATCACGCTTTACGTCTGTCAGCGGAGGAGGAGAAGGGAAGAGTGTCGGAGAAAGGAGGAAGAAGACAAACTGAGTCTGCTGTACCTCAGACCACTCCCACATCCCGCTCGCAAATCCAAAGAGACATGGATGGAAGTCCGAAGCGACGACTGGTAGAGCTGGATCGTCCGAATCGAGTCAGAAGGGCGACCTAACGAGCATGCACTGAACAACCGCAATTATTTTTAGAAGAATAAACATTTACGTGATCGAGGAATAAATTAATTCGGCTTTAAAACTGGACCAGCCACTTAGTTTGGAATTAAGTTTAATTCCGAATAATTATTTTCATTTGGAATTAAGTGTTTACATGTTCATGGTCTAAAGCAGAATTCATTTTTATTCAGAATTAAAGCTCTCATGTAAACGTGCCACACTGTTACTACTACTACTACTACTACTACTACTACTACTACTACTACTACTACTACTACTACTACTACTACTACTACTACTACTACTACTAATAATAATAATAATAATAATAATAATATTACTAATTGGGTGGCAGTAGCTCAGTTGGTAGAGCATTCGCCCACTGATCTAAAGGTTGGAGGTTTGAATCCAGCTCTCAACATAAACATCACAGGTTGAGTGGTCAGATCCACTGACCCACAGGTTGACTGGTGTGATTCCCACAGATGAATGCTGTTGTTGTGTCCTTGGGCAAGACACTTAACCCACCTTGCCCACAGTGTCTGCATACACTGGTGTGCGAATGTGTGTGTGAATGGGTGAGTGGTTCCTTGTTGTAAAGTGCTTTGAGTGCCTTGAAGGTGGAAAAGCGCTATAGAAAAATGTGACCATTTACCATTTACCAATATTACTACTACTACTACTACTACTACTACTACTACTATTACTAATATTACTACTACTACTGCCAGTACTCATTTCTAGTAGTCATGTCTACCTGGAAATTAAAAATATGCTCTTATACTCCATCTCCTCTCCTTTCTTTCTCCCTCTCCCTTTCTCTGTACCCCCTCCATCACTCTCTCCTTTCCTCTCTCCTCTTTCTCCCTGCTACTTTCTCTCCTCTCCCCCTCTGTCCTTTTCATTCTCTCCTCTTTTCCCCTCTTTCTCTCTCCTTCCCTATGCTCTGTCACTCCTCTTTTTTCTTTCTTCCTCCCTCTCTCTGCTTCTTATTCCTTTTTCTTCCCCCTCTCTCTTCAGTTCTTACTTCTTTCTCTCTCCCTCTTTCACTCTCTCTCCTCTTTATATCAATCCACCACTCCCTCTCACTTTCTCTCTCCCTCTCTCTGCCCCTCCTTCCTCCTCTTCAGACTCTTGTATTTGCTGTTCTGTTCTTGACGTCAACTTTGACACAAACTCTTCAAATTCTTCACATTTTCAAACAGGGCCAAGTATTCACCTCGGGTTTTTCAGCTTCTCTTTACAGCAGCTCATTCAAAACATCGCCGTTAGTAACACGCTAAACACGCCGACAGGATATTTACCCCAACAGTGTTTTCAATCTCCTAATATGGTCAAAGGTGTTATCAGAAATACCACGGCTATGATGGCAAACCGCACTGCCACTCTGTTTCTGTCTCTGGGCAAGGCACTTCTACACATTCTAGTCACAGAGATCAGGAGTCTAACCCACAACCTCCGTACTGAGAGGAGGAGGCGGGAGTAGTTACCATATGTGGATGAGGCTGAGGATGGCGAAGAGCAGTCCCAGGACGAAGGCCAGGGGCACGGCGAGCAGAGTGGTCAGGAGGCGGTAGAACACGAACTTCACGAGTTCGAATCCGGCGTGACTCCAAATCCAAACGCGGTCGAAGCTGTGGGTCGACGAAGGCTCCGCGATCACGTCCTCAAACACCACCTGCACGCAACAGCAACATCAGAAGGTGGAGTTTAGGTTCAGTCCTGGTTCAGTTCTGGTTTAGTTCTGTTTTATTTGACACCTGTCTCTTACTATCTTTTTTGCTACTTATTTAGAATTTATTTTGTCATTTATATTTTTGCTCTTTCTTGTTATATTATTGTGATGTGTGAGCTACTGTGTCCAAAAAATTTCCCTTGTAGATCAATAAAGTTTGTCTAAGTCTAAGTAAATCTAAGTCTTAGTCCGTAGTCCTAGTTTAGTCCTGGTTCAGCCCTGGTTCAGTACTGCTTTAGTCCTGGTTTAGTCCTGATTTAGTCCTGGTTTATTCCTTAGTCCTGGTATAGTAGTGGTTCTGTCCTGGTTTAGTCCTGGTGTAGTCCTAGTTTAGTCCTAGTTTAGTCCTGGTTTAGTCCTGGTTTAGTCCTAGTTTAGTTCTGGTTTAGTCCTAGTTTACTCCTGGTTTAGTCCTAGTTTAGTCCTGGTTTAGTCCTGGTGTAGTCCTAGTTTAGTCCTGGTTTAGTCCTGGTTTAGTCCTGGCACTGAGGTCACTCACTGTCAGCTCAGTCCACAGACGAGGAATTCCTCTAACACTGCAAGTCATTATTTTTAGAGGGATAACAGTCTGGTCCCCACTCCCTTCATCGCACCTCGAGTCAGAACCAAACACGATCGTCCAATCACATTTCTTCTTCTCAACGAACCATGTAAAACAAAGCAGCACCTAATTTAACAAACAAAACTCATCTCACCTCAGATTAACAGTTCAGTGCTTTGCTCTTTGATTGTGCAAAAAAATCTGTCAGATCTTTCCCTTTTTTCCTCGTAAGCAGCTGTATTTGTTTTGATACGGACGGTCCATACGTGTCACTGATTGGCTGATCCACCTGTCAATCAATCTCATCTGAACACTCACAGTGACCAGACCTACATCTCCAGAATGATTTAAAGTGTGTTTTCTGAAACCCACGCAACAATAATCACTAGTTGTGGTTGTTTTAGTTTTTTCCCCTCATCACTCACGAAAGCAAGAAGCGAAGTGTCGTGCTCAAGGACACAAAGACAGCATACATAGGCCATTAGATGTTTCATTGGAAGCTTGGAACATATCCGGATTGTCATGTCTGGGAGTACAATTTCAACTTGACTTTCTCTTTGTCTCTTTGTTTTTGTAGTAGTTGTAGTACAGTACAGGTGCAGCAGCCAGTGTACTGCAGTATTTGGTCTTGCTCTGTGCGTGAATGAGTGAATATTTTCCATGTAGCAGAGCCCTAATTCAGATTTGGAAACTACTTTACTCCGAATACAAACAACACGCACTGCTCACTGTTTCCATGGGCTTATAGTACTCTGATACTTCATTAAACTGCACTCAGAGTTACTACAACAAAACGTATTTAGAAAAGAAACAGGAGACGGGTTGTTTCACGGGTATTTGGTCGCCTTATCCAAACATTTTACGCATGAATGAGCATTTCAGCAACACCACTCACTGTATCCACTGTATGCACTTTGTTGTGATCACTGTGCCGCTTTGTGCCGCGTCGCGCTCTTTACGCCTCTGACGCGCGACACTTCCAGGTATTCACCGCGCGGAAAAGTCATTACCACAACACAATACGGTTTTACAAGTGCGTTTAAATCATCCAAATGTATCTGACAGCCGCAGTATTTCCGCGCTTTCACTTTTAAACTTTGTTATGGTTACCTTGAGGTGCGCGTTGATGTCCTGCGGGTCGCGTGTGCCCGGCGTATCCGCGTACAGCGCTTGTTTTCCGGATAGGATGGGCTCGATGGATCTGTTAAACTCATCTTCGTCCATAATGATGCTAGAATCCAGCTTCTCCTTCTCCAGACCCATCGCGAAACAGCGGGCAGAGGCGAGGAGTCAAGCCGCCGCTCAGTCCTGACGCACCGCTCCTGGCAGACGTGCGCGCTCCCGCCTCCAGTTCAGAGCGCGGAAAGCACGCAGCGTGGGGGGCGCGCAGAGATGAGTGACGCTACTGTTCACGGAGCTCCCGGTCATTAGCTCTGCGCCAAGAATAGATTTGATGTTTGGATAAAGAGACTACTGCAACAAATTATGAGAGCAGAGTGACTTAGACAAATTAAATGGAAGTTTACAGTAAATGTAGACGTCATCCCAAAACAAAATCCACTTTATATGGTTGTCAAAAGTATCGAAAATCAGATACTACTCGATACTGAAACGAATAGGACTGAAACTAGATACTCATCTGAACAGGTATCGATACTGAAAAAGTCATATTGACAGGACAGAAATGAACCTTGAATAGCTTTAGAATGATCTTGAGCTGTATCAGAACAAGTATAAGAGCACGTAGACTAAGATACGCCCATGGAACTACCTGGACCACTCAGGGATTACACACGTATAAGACCACATAGGAATATAAAATACTATGACTTTGGCTATGATTTAATGTATTTTAATTATCATGGAGGTATCAGAATCGGAGTATCAAGTATCGAAATCAAGTTTGAAATTTTAGTATGGACTGTACTGACAGTCTAGTCCAGACCTGGGCATTGTACAGCTCCCAGGCAACATACGGCCCTTTGGTTGACTCTGATTGGCGCCTGTAAGATAATTCGGAAATTGCAAAAGGAGAAATTCAATTTTCAACTGGACAGACGTTTATTTGGTCGAATATGTTTTGCAGCTCATCCAAGCTGCTTCTTCAGTTCTGGTTGGAATGCTGGTGGAAACTTTCTTAGGTGTGAAAGGTGCATTATGGGCCTGAATGATTCTGCTAATAAAACCGCACAATCACTGCAAGTTTCTAGCTAACAGAAACTGTAAACAAGTAGATGTGTTAGTTTCAGAGTAGTTTCAGTGTAGTTAGCTCCTCCCTTCAGGCAGATATAAGAAAGTGTCAACCAGCATCTGACCAGAACTATATAATATATAATACTATAATAAACTTTTGTCCAGTTGACAAATAGAATTTTTCTTTCTGCCAATTCTGAATTATCTTAAAGGGACCAATCAGAGTCAACCAAAGGGCCGTATGTCTCCCAGGAGCTGTACAATGCCCAGGTCTGGACTAGACTGTCAATACAGTCTACTAAAATTTCAAACTTGATTTCGATACTCAATGCTCGATACTGGACTACTGAAGGATTTTACACACTAATTTGGAATTACAAAATAAACTTCAAATTATAATCTTACCTCATGGATGCACTAAAGCTGCATTGCTTTTTTTTTAGAGGTGTTTTTTTTATTACATTTTTGGTAAGGAATTCTCAGTTTTTCAGTGCTTAGTCATAACATATACTCTTACCAGTCTGACCAGCTTTTTGGCCCGGCCCGCCACAATATTTTCTATTTCTCATGTTGTCCCATGGAAAAAATAATTGCCCACCCCTGGTCTAATGGTCTAGTCCATTACCCAGCTATGAAATATCCACGCAGTGTTGGGAACAATATTTCTCTATATAGTCACAGAATACTAATATGTGTTTTATTTTGACTTGGTCTAATCAGAGTACTGTGTTCTGAATATCTGGAATACTTTGATGCTGAGTTGCATTACAGTATATAAGCACAGTGCTGGAACATACATATTCAGAATACTTGTTTTGAGTAACAGTTACAACACAGTTACTTTTTCCTTTGGTGTTATTCAGGATACAGTTACTTACAGTTATAAGGGAATACATGAGGGTACTTCATCAGGCAATTTTGGCTTTGAACCTTGCAGTATTAGTGAGAAAAAAGAAAACATATCTCAGTGTGTGCATGTGTAATTTTCCTTCTTTAACAAGACATAAAGTAATACATAACAAACAGGGCAACACAATTAAAGCAATTTGTATTAATAAGTATTTCTACACTAAACTATAATGCAACTTGGTGTAAAAGTATTCCAAGTATTCAGAATGCACTACTCTGATTGGGGTGTGTATCAGAATGTGTTACACAATACATTTATTCAGTATTATGAAGCTACAAACATTTCCAAAGTATTCTTCCCAGCACTGTATGAGCAGTATATTAAAACCTCACAGATGTAATGCATTTGTTTATCACTGATTACAGAAGAGCTGTTTTTACATATTAAATGTTCTGTACCAGATTTTTTCATGCATTTGAGCAAACTCCAGTACAGTTATATTGTAAAAGTAACTCTTTGGGTCAAAATAAATCTGCTGTGTCCTGTCTGCATCGACTTAAAGAGAGTTTGAACGTGCGAGAATCTAGAAATGTGCTCACAAGAGTCACTTTTGCATAATATTATAGGACCTTTAACGTTCCTAGTTGATTGCCCTCCATCAGCATGACTGTATCCATGGAGATCAAATTAGAATATTTCACAGTATGGCATTAAAGTGATCAAATTACATTGCAGGTGCTGGGTAAGGGTTACCTATATTCAGACTGCAGCTGCTTGTCTCTGTGGATATACACTACCGGTCAAAAGTTTTAAAACACCACACTTTTTTTCACATGTTTACTGTTGACCAAAACATATTCTAAACTTTTGATTCATAAAAGTGTCCACCTTTGGCAGATGTAACAGCTGAACACACTCATGGCTCGTTCTTTTTACAATAGAAATCAAATATTCTTCAGAAAGTTCTTCCCAGGTCTGTTACAGAAGTCCAGTTGTCTGTCCGGTTCATCCCAAATCAGCTCGATGGGGTTTAAGTCTGGACACTGTGCTGGACACTCCATGTTTTCAAGCTTTACCATCTTGTTCTTTTTTCCTGAGGTTGTTTTGGCTTGGACTTGTGTTTTGAGTCTTTTTTTTTTTACCTCTGAGTGTTCAGTACTTCCCTTTGTACAATTCCGAGCTCTTCACTGGACTTGCACAACTTGAATTGCAATAAATAACTGGAAAAATTAGGGTGTTCTAAAACTTTTGACCAGTAGTGTAGATTTGTTTCATGTCATACTGTAACATAATATAACATTCCAGGCAAAAAACAGTGACATTGCCATGGAAACAAGCAGCTGGAGACCTTTCACCCGAAAATTTACACAACGGACTTCAATTAGATCTGCTTTCTTAGTCTCAATTCAATAGTCAGTAGTCTAATTTTCATTCTTAGTCCTGGTCCAGACCTGACTCAGTCCTTACTTTGACAGCAAAACTCCACTCTGGTCTCTGAAAGTTGTTAAAAGCGCTCATAAACTCATCATAGTGAATAATTAGGATGCTCTGAGGGTTAAAATTTCAGATTTCACAAAAAGTGTTATTTTAACTATTTGAAAGTTAAATGGGGGTTCGAGTTGGAGTTATTTCCAGAGTTCATACCACTTCAAACTCTCACAAGAGAAGATAAATTTGAACCAGTTTTGTACATAATTTCATCTTAAATTAACTAAATTAAAGTGTAAAAATAAAACACCTCTGTGTGTTGTTTAGCTCAATCAGGATAACTCTACATAGTGTTATCTGTGTACTCTCAAAAAGTTAATATAACTCATGATTTTGGGGTTAAACAGGAACTTTGAACCAGTTTCACTTAATTAATATTTCCAAAACATGTTAAATTAACTCTAGAACAGATTGAACTCAAATAAAAAATCAGAAAATGTAAAAAATGATTCTGTGACACTCCACTTTTTGCTGTGTACAAGTTCTGTTCACATTTTTAAGACTTAAAATCAGGTACAGCACTTTCAATGTCTGCAGTTGAGTAATTGTCCTGTTAGGTATAGTAAAAAAAAAAAAAAAAAATCCTTAGTGACAAATATAAAACACAGAATCCATTTGTAAGTTTAGCTGAACACATTAGGTCATTTGTTTCTTTCCGACCATAACAGTTTCCTCTGTGCTTTTGGGCAGCGCCTGTGGAAAGTGACCAGGGCGGAGCTCGGACCAGGAAAGAACGGCTTATTTTCTTTGGGAACAGCCTACAATGTGCATTTAAGCTCGCAGGAGTCTAACCCGCAACCTCCGTACTGAGAGGAGGAGACAGGCTAACCACTCTGACAGTTACAGTAATGTATGTTCTGGTTAAAGAGTCCATTTTACGCTATTTTCTGATCTGTTATAATGTTGTTTCCTCATCACAAACAAACCTGGAGTTGTGTTTTGTTTCATTCACATATTTAACACACAAACCCTGCAGATTTAGCCTGAGTTCTTCTCTCAGATGGAAAACACTGCGTTCCACCTTGTGATGTCATGTGGTGATACAGGAAGTGCCCCACTGGGTTTTTAAAGTCCATGCATCTTCTGTAGAGTCATATGGATGATTTCGGACCTGGAATTGCAAATCTACTGCACAAAATGTAAATGGTAGCTGTTAACTTGCAAACTACCACTTCATGACATCACAAGGTAGAACAGAGCATTTTGAGCTTTGGAGATGTAGGCAGATAAAAAGCGTTCCTCAACCATGTGTTTTTGAAGAGGTCACTATAATTATAACATGGTTTCAAGAGTTAATTTTGAGTAATATAGGACCTTTAACTGTAACTTTCCTAATTGTATCCATGGAGATGAAATTAGAATGTTCCATGGTATGATAGCATGATGAAAGTTATCCATTCATTTACAGGTGTGGGTACGAGTCACCTCTGCTCAGATCTCAGCTTGTCTCTGTGGATTTGATTAATCTTATGCTGTGGAACTTTCAGGTAAAAAGAAAATAAAGTCAAAACAATAACATTGCCTTGGAAACAAGCAGCTAACAGACCACTACCAGAAATGTTACACAGTGCATCTTTATTAGATCTGGTTTTCAACTGGTTTCGTAGTCCTGGTGTGGTATAGGATTTTGACCCTGTGGTGAGGTGACCCTGGGGTCAAAATACCATATAATATTTTGACCCTGGGGTCAAAATACTATTATGACATGTTGACCCCCCCTATAGAATATTGACCCCCCTATGAAAATCTATATTTTATTAATAAAAAACGTTGAATATTA